GATACCATTTTAGTGAAGGTCTCGTCGTCATCGTCGATCAGATATAATTTTTCTTGACTGAAAGATTCGAACTAGATTCAACTCAAACAACTGAAGGCATAAAAAAAACTTTTAAAAATGGCCGCTGACCTCAAAAGTTGATAGTATTTTTAATGTTACGGGTTAAAATTTATGCTTGAATTTTGACACGTTTTCCTCGTTTTGGGTATTTTGGGTGTATTTAGAAGTCAATTGTTTATATAAAAGGAATAAGATGAAGATTTTGGCTATTATTTTGGTCGAAATGTGCTTTATGATTGAAGATAGCGTTTTCATATTTCGAGAGCTCAGGGAGGCTCTTTTTTTCAGAATGAAAGTTTGGATATCATATTTTCTTTGGGTAATTGGCACAAAACGTCCCTACCTTTCAAGTGTATTATGGAAAACATCTCTACCTTTCATTTTTTGGCACAAAACTTCCCTATCTTCATCTTTCTTGACGTTGAACGTCATTTTCATCATTTTTGACGATTTTACCCTCCATTCAAATAAAACAAAAAGAAAAGAAAGGAAAAAAACAAAAAACTAATTGTAACCACATTCCCAAATTTTCTAAAAATTGCAAATGGTAACTTGATAATTACCATATTAAACAAATTGAAAAAAATTTTAAAAATGGATTGTCTTCTTCACCCCACCCCACCATACCATACAAAATCTCTATGCACAGCAAATCCTCCAAATCCGAAGCTCCATTACATTTCTTTGCACAATGGGGTTTGATACTGGATATAAAAATGAATGAACTTGTACAAAGAGGGGAAGTGCAGAGAGATGTAATGGGGAAGACAACCCATTTTTTTAATTTTTTTCTTAATTTTTTGATTTTTTTAATTTATTTAATATGGTAATTATCAAGTTACCATTTGCAATTTTTAGAAAATTTAAGAATGTGGTTGCAATTAGTTTTTTGTTTTTTTTCTTTCATTTCTTTTTGTTTTATTTGAATGGAGGATAAAATCTTCAAAAATTGATGAAAATGACGTTTAGCGCCAAGAGAGTGGAAGATAGAGACGTTTTGTGCCAAAAAATGAAAGGTAGGGATGTTTTCCACAATACACTTGAAAGTTAGGGACGTTTTGTGCCAATTACCCTATTTTCTTTCAACCTTAAATGTTGTGCAATGGCCTTATTTATAGGCATTTTTAGGAGTATTTTGATCATTTTTATAAGTTGACATTATCTCATTAAGCAGTTATAATCAGGTCTCATTTTCAAGACTTTTTTGAGGTTTGTGCTTTGTGATACCTATTGAGCATATCATTATGTGCACACATGATTTTAGTGCACAATCTAGATTGATTTTTTTTAGCCCTTCTACCATAGGTATGACCCTATTGAGAACTCTTTTATCTTCTTTTTAAACAATCATCTTTCACTTTCTCCATACTAATTAAGACCTCAGAGTTAAAATGAAAGAGGAAGCCCCAAACCCAATTTCATAGATTTGTTGCTTCTACCATAGGTATGACCCTATTGAGAACTCTTTTATCTTCTTTTTAAACAATCATCTTTCACTTTCTCCATACTAATTAAGACCTCAGAGTTAAAATGGAAGAGGAAGCCCCAAACCCAATTTCGTAGATTTGTTGACCACCAGATTGGAGCAACGCCAACATGCTTCATTAGCAAGGAAGAACATTTGACTACGCGGCCTCATCAAGGCTAGTTTTTTTTTTTTCTCATTTTTTCTTTCTTTTTTCCCCCACAAGGGACAACTAATCATTTAAACAATCAAATAATCTGTTAGTAGGAATCTTCGATACGATGTAATTTGAACAAATTTCGATGTCTGTAGTCCAAATTAAAATTAAACAAATATATTTTATCTGAATTTCTATTGAGGAAATTACTCAAATAACACCATTTTTCATGTTCTAAACAATGTTAATTTTTTAAGATTCTTAAGAAATACACCATACTTCCTATGAAAGTGTTACCAAATTCATCTTCTCTTTTACATAAATTTCAAATTATTTGTGTATTCTCATCAAACTAACTAATATGGATCAAAGTTTCAAGCCGATATATTACGGCTCCATATCAAAGCAACGATTGATATTGGGACTTGTTACCCAGGAACTTATTCAGAAATGCCGTAATAAAATGAACATAAGAATTTGTTGATAGGTAATTGATCAAATAGGATCGTTTGGTTCATATAAAATTTATCACTAAAATTCAAAAGAGTTCATGTATCCTTAATGCTCTCTACGATGGAATCGCCTTATATTTTCCTTAACTGTTTTGACGAGAGAAGTAATGAGTTTTATGAAATTAATAAATAATAATTATAAATGTGTGATTAAATATATAAATTGACCACATTGAAAATTATTAACAAACCAAAACATATGCTACTTTGACTGGGATTTGCCGAGGCATTTTTAACAGAAGTAATCTTATGTTTCACTGTTGGAACAGTTGCACAATCCGACAAATCACATCAGTGACCGGGTAAGCACCTGCACTAAGTCACCTGACTAGTCTTCCCAGCTGCATTTGTGAGGTCAATCTTCATCGGTGGCTCCAGTCAACCGGTCACCTCTCTCTCTCTCTCTCTCTCTCTCATACACGCACACACACACACAGAGTTACAGAGTTGTCTCTCATACACACACACACACACACACACACACACACACACAGAGTTGGGTCTTCGTTGGAACCTCTTTTTGTGGCGTTGGAAGCTTGTTGGGTTCTGCTCAACAGCAACTTTTTTTGAAGATTCTTGCTTAATGGACGTGAGTACCCTTTCCAATTTTATCTTGATCTATGTTTTGTATTGTGTTAGTTACCGACATAACTGTGTAATTTTTATGGGTTTTATTTATTTTGATTTCTTGATTTACTAGGAAGTAAAAACTTATGATCTTAAATGGGTTTCTAGTTAAGGAATGATCTGTTGATTTATCATTCTTAGATCTTAAGCATTTTCTGGTTGTGCAATCTATTGGTAAGCATTCTAGCGAGCTCCTTATAGCAGTAAAGAAGGTATATTTGATTTGTTCTGGCTTTGGCAGCTGAAAATTGAACTTGAGTTTCGACTTCAGTAGAATTGGGCTCATAGAAAACTAATTAATGTATATTCCTTGATTTAAGTGTGGGAAGAAATTTTGTGGACAAGATATATCTATGATATATGTTGTGTCGGGTAGTTTGGGGGGATGATGGAGAGTTAGCATTGTGATGGAATGGGATGTTTCGGGTTTGTTTGGATGGTTGGACAAGAATTGAAAGCAGTATTTTCAGTTTACAGTATGAGATCAAGGATGCTTAGAGCAAAATTAGGCTGATTCCTATTGAAAAATCTTGGAAATGGATTTGGATGGTTAGTACAATCCTGCGTTGGTATGTGTAGGTGGAGTTCTTTTTCAATAATTCAAGTTTCATCTTTTAGTTCTTCCTTTATTTGACAATGGCAACCATTAGCAGTGAAGGCTTGTTTGTTGATTTAGATGGTAGTGTATGCCGAGTCATTATGCGAAGACAACTGGTGAAAGAAAATGGACACATGTATAGATGCTCTTGTCAAACAGAACTGCTCTAGTTACTTGATGCCAATTTAAAAATTACTTAGTTTTGATTAGAGTAATTAATGATCAAGTTTTTATAGTTTTGTTTCCCTTTCTGTTGAAGTTCATATAGATATCTTCCTTCAATTTCTCGAGGAGGTCAGTTTCTCGATTTTTTTCCAAATTACTGTTTATCAAGAAATAATTTACGGCTTACAATATTTATAAACTCCAATGTATTTTACATATGTAATGATAAAACTTAATCTAATACACAAGGCAACAGTTTTGTCTGATAACTAACAACATTCTGTAACAAGAATTTCAGCAAACTAATTCAAAATTAAGTCAAAAATTTACATCTATATTCAAATGTGTACTTTCTATAAAGCGTTTATAGTAGTATTTTTTGATCTCTAATGTTTCGGAATAAATTTTGGAGACTCAAAGTTTGATCAGAGCATCAGAGAGATGATGAGATTCAGTATTCAGGTCTATCCTAAGTCCAACCTGAAATTATTGGTACTCTGAAAGTAGTAAAGATGAATTCTAGGTAGCTACTGAGTTTGCTTGGTCCTCACTGACATTTAACCAGTGTTTGATAAGAGCATTAGATAAATTATGAGAATCAGCTTATTGCGATCTTCCTTAAGTCAAATCAATTGCAATTAGAGGGTAGTGAAATAATTATATTATTCGAATTTGTAGGTAACTGCTGAATTTGCTCAGTGGGTTGGTTTGAGCCCACTGATATTCTCATTACCTCTCTTTGAATATTGAGATACTCGTTTTAAAATGAATTAGAAAAATTGCATCAGATACATGGATTCATGCTCCAAAGGAAAAAGTTGAAGGACTCAATGGTGTCCTTACGAAGTTTCGGCGTTAAATCTATAATGAAATGTTGTCTTTGTTCTAGTAAAGCTACTATAGAACCCCAGTTAATATGTAAAAACAAATGCAACTGTAAAAAGTACAGGAGATATTTCGAGGTGCATGGCATTGATTTTTTATGATGTTTAACTGTACAAGATACAATGAGATACTCCCCAAGACCAAAGGTCAACATGGTGTCCTGACCCTCGATGTAGGCCTTGATTATCGACCATGGGCTTGTGGAACCTTTCATTCCTGTGATTACATTATGATTCCTAAAAGTGGACTCCTAAATAGCCACAGCCAAATGGGCAAACCTCCTACATCCCCTGTGCATTTGTGATCTTTCGATTTACCTTTTTCCTGGATTGGACTCATTGGAGAGAGTTAGGAGAATGGCAAGAGAGGATGAGGCAAATTCTGGAATAGTAGGGTTAAGTTCATCATAATTTTTATTTTTTTATTTTTTGGGTTCCCGGGGGGGGGGGGGGGGGGTGGGGAAAAAA